CAAGATGTGGAGAGAGACAGTGGTTCTGTTCCATGGCAAGTTCCCCCTCTTTTTCATCTTTCTCCTCTCTCTCTCTCTCTCTCTCTCTCTCTCTCTCTCTCTCTCTCTCTGAAAGCCCCTTTCATGATCTTCAAGTCACCTTTATCCCTCCACTGCCCAATCATTGGGTCTAGCTTTTTAATTGATCACTTAAATTGGGGAGAAGTTTCTCATGGCATCAGTTGAATACATGAGCTAGTCAGGGACAACTACATATCTAGATTGTTTAAGGAAGATGCCCTAATTCCTTCTTCAGCCTCCTTATCATTTGTATAAAGAAACATGACAAGGATGCCTACTCTCTCCCTATCTATTCAATATAGTACTCAAAGTTCTATCTAGAGCAATAAAAGAAAAGGTCAAGGGGATACGAAATGAAAAGGATGAAGTCTAGGCTTTCACAGCTGATATAATAATATACATAAGCATCCCTCAAAATTCTACCAGAGAATACTACCAGGAAAGTGGCTAGATATAAAAATTAATGCAAACAAATCAGAAGCCTTTCTTTATATAAATGATAAGGAGGCTGAGGAAAGAATTAGGGTAAAAACACCATGAACAATAACCACAAATAGTATCAAATATCTTGGTATAACTCTAACCAAGCAAGTGAAAGATCTGTATGAGAAGAACTTCAAGCCCCTGAAGAAAGAAATCAAAGATGATCTCAGAAGGTAGAAAAATCTCTCATGCTCATGAATCAGTAGGATTAATGTAGTTAAATATAGTCATCTTGCCAAAAGCAATCTAGAGATTCAATGAAATCCCCATCAAAATCCCAACACAATTCTTCACAAACATGTAAAAGGCAATTCTCAACTTCATATGGAAAAACAAAAACCCCAGGATAGGGAAAATGATTCTCAACAATAAAAAATCTTCTGTGAGAATCACCGTCTCTAGCCGGGCGGTGGTGATGCATGCCTTTAATCCCAGTACTTTGGTGGCAGAGGCAGGTGGATTTCTGAGTTTGAGGCCAACCTGGTCTACAGAGTGAGTTCCAGGACAGCCAGGGCTATACAGAGAAACCCTGACTCGAAAAACAAACAAACAAACAACAACAACAAAAACAGAATCATCATATCTGACATGAAGCTGTATTATAGAGCAATAGTGATAAAAACCTCATGGTATTGGTACAAGGACAGACAGGTACATCAATGGAATAGAATCAAAGACCTATAAATAAACTCATACATCTATGGACACTTGAACTTTGACAAAGAAGCCAAGACTTAAGAGTGAAAGTATCTTCAAAAAATGGTGTTGGTCTAAGTTATAGTCTCCATATAGAAGGATGAAAATTGATCCATTTTATTACCCTCCATAATATTCAAGTCAAAGTTGATCAAGGACCTCCACATAAAACCAGATACATTGAATATAGTAGAAGATAAAGTGGAAAATAGCCTGGAAAGTGTTGGCACAGAGGAACATTCTTTAAATAGAATACAAATGTCTCAGGCTCTAAGATCAACAATTAATAAATGGGACCTCTTGAACTAAAAAGATTCTGTAAGTCAAAGAAAAGGACAGACAAAACGTAACCTATAGACTGGGAATAGATATTCACTAACCATACATCTGATAAAGAACTAATGTCCAAAATACATAAAGAACTCAAGAAGATAGACACCAAAAAGCAAAATAACCTAATTAAAATTGGGGTACAGAGTCAAACAGAATTCTCAACAGAGGAATCTCAAATGGTCAAGTAGCACTTGAAGAAATGTCCAACATCCTTAGTCATCAGGAAAATTAAATTTTAAATGACCCTGAGATTTCACTGTACACCGATCAGAATGATTAACATAAAAAAAAGACTCAAGAGGTATCACATGCTGTTGAGGATGTGGAAAAAGTGAAACACTGCTCCATAAATGGTGAGATTACAAACTGGAAGAACAACTCCTGAAATCAACCTGGTGGTTTCTCAGAAAAATGAGACTAGTTCTACCTGAAGACCCAGCTTTACTGTTCCTGGACATATACCCAAAAAATTGTTCAAGCATACCACAAGGACACATGCTCCACTATGTTCATAGCAACATTATTTCTAATGGCCAGAAACTGAGAGCATCTCAGATATCTCTCAGCTGAAGAATGGATACAGAAAATGTGGTTTGTTTACAAAATGCAATGCTTTTCAACTATTAAAAACAATGACATGATGAATTTTCTAGGTTAATCATTAGAAATAGAAAATATCATCATAACTGAAATAACCCAGATCCCAAAGGATATGAATGATATATATTCACCAATAAGTGGTTATTAGGCAAAAATTACAGAATATCAATGATATACCCCCAGAGACCATAGGAAGTTAAACAAGAAGGAAGCCCCAAATGAAGATGGTTCATTTTCACTTATAAGGGGGAACAAAATAATCATGGGAGGCAGGGGGAGGAAGGAACATGGAAGAAGTGAGAGGAAAACAGGGTAGGGGTAGGATCAGGTATGGGGGCCCAGGAGAGAAGCCCAGAAGCCAGGAAAATGAATAGAATTCTGCTGCCAGGAGTTGTGTGTTAGTAGTAGAGGGATCCTCAAGAAATTCCCTGAGATTTGGGATGTGGGAGGCTCCCAAGACTCAGTGGAGGTGACCTTATCTGAAATGCCTAACAGTAGAGAGTTGGAAACTGAAGAGACTACCTCCATTTTTTAACAGGGTCCTCAGTGAAGGAATGGGGACACCAACCTACCTTCAACATTTTCATCCCAAATTTGTTCATGTTTATAAGAAACATAGAGACAAAACTGCTGCAGAGGCTGAAAGAATGTCTGACTAGTGACAAACTCAATCTAGTATCCATCCTATCAGCAGGCACCAAACCCTGGCATTGTTGCTGATGTTATACTGTGATTGCAGACAGGAGCCTAGCATGATTGTCCTCTGAGAGGCTCTACCAGTAGCTGACTGAGACAGATACAGATACTGACAGCCAAGAATTGGACTGAGATTGGGTACCCCTATGGAAGAATTAGGGTAAGGATTGAAGAAACTGAAGAAGACAGCAACCCATAGAAAGTCTATCAGTGTTAACTAACCCAGAGACCTTAGAGATCCCAGAGATGAAGTAACCAACCAAAGAGCATATATTGGCTGGTTTGAGGCCCCCAACACATATGTAGCAGAGGACTACCTTGTCTGGCCTCAGTGGGAAAAAGTGCAACTAATCCTGTAGAGACTTGATGCCCTAGAAAAGGGGATGCCCAGAGTGGCAACCTCTCAGTGACAATGGGAAAGAGGATCGGGGAAAGAACTCTGGGAGGGATGACAGAGGTGGGGGAGGAAACATTTGTGTTATGAATAATAACAAAATAGTTAAGAATTCAGGTAGTATTTTATCATATCTCTTGGCTATAATCCAGCCCTAGGTAGTAAGACCTTTTGTTGAAGACATTACATAGTTTGGAACTATGAGGACTTTCCCTCGATGACTCATTTCCCTTTTATTGATTGCTTGATTTTTATTTCCTTATTTTATTACCTACTAGTCCAATTATTACTATCTATATGTAACAGGTAGGGAGCTATCCACTGGGCCATGAAAAAACTCCAAATGGCCATGACTTCACAAAGAAAAGTGACTTCTTTCTTAACATCTGTCAGCTCTCATTAGTACCTAACCTATGGGTGGACATTGGGAACCACTCTCCACTCTGATGGACTTTTAACTGAATTATTGGGAACCCCTCTCCACTCTGTTGGACTTTTAACTGAATTGATCTTGTGCAGTTTAAGGGCGGATAACCATAGCTGCCATCTATACATGTATTCATGTGTATAATAGCCATGTCATATCCAGAGACCAACACAGTGCTCCTCCTCATCCTGTGGCTGTTATGTTCTTTCTGACTTCTTTTCCTGAAAGTCTCCTGAGCCTTATGAGTGAAGGTCACTATACTCCATCGACAACTGAGCACTCATAGTGACTTAGTCAATCTTTTGGAACAGCTATATGTCTCTTCCTTACCTACTACCCTGTAGGCAAAGTACTCTTCCAGAAGAAAAAGTGCAGAACTGTCTTGAAAATATTGGCACAAGAGAAAGATTTCTGAACAGACCCTAGCAGTGAAGCCACAGCAAAACACAGACATTCCAAACAAGTGCTCCCACTGATGTGATAGTGGCATTCAATATTTAATAAATGGGACCTCATTAACCTGAAAAACTTTCATAAAGCTAGGGACATCATCAATAGGACAATGTGGCAGCCTACAGAGTAGAAAAGGATTGTTGCCAACTGTATGTCTGACAGAGGGCTCATATCCAAAATATATAAAGAACACAAGAAATTAAACACCAACAATGCAAATGACCTAATTAAAATGAGAGATAGAACTAAACAGAGAATTCTCAACAGGTATGATCACTGATTATTTATTCCTATAGAGGATTATGAATTATTGGTTAAGTTTCCAAATAATACAGAAAAAAATAGCTATCTTACCTTCTTGGCTTGCTACTACTAAACAAGTGGTCAAAATTCCAAAATCTAGCTGAATTCTTCATTGTTGAATTTTATTTATATTTCTAGAAGGGAATCATCTAATCAAATCTTCAAATAAAATGTAGCTAAATTCAATTTTAATACTGTTAGATAGGGCTTCATGTATAATATCTTTATAGTCTAATCGCTTTCCCAAGAAGCATGACTTCCTTTCCTTATTCCAACTGTCTCCAAATGTTTGCTACTTTTAATTTCATTGACAGTTAAACTTAAAAATGAATGCTCTTTGCCTGTCCTATTTCCTTACTACTAATGTCTTCATTAACTTGTGAAAGAATGATTAGATCCTATCCTTCCAAACAATTCTTTTTATAAGATCACCAATGACCTTTCTTTTTTTTTTAAGTAAAAGTAAATGACATTGGCCCGCAGAATGACACGCCGCGTGGTCCCTCAGTCTCCCGCAGTCGCCTCCCCAGGCATGGCACAGGGCCTCGCCACACTATGGCAGCAGCAAGACACAGCACGCTCGACTTCACGCTTGGCACCAAAGCTGATGGTGAGGCCACTCTGAAAGGCCTTCAGTCCATTTTTCAGGAGCAGGGGATGACAGAGTCCATGCACACCTGGCAGGATCATGGATATTTAGCAACTTACACAAACAAGAATGGCAGCTTTGCCAATTTGAGAATTTATCCACATGGATTGGTGTTGCTGGACCTTCAGAGTTACGACAGTGATGTGCAAGGCAAACAAGAAACTGATAGCTTTTTGAACAAAATAGAAGAAAAAATGAAAGAATTGAGTCAAGACAGTACTGGGCCGGTGAAGCGATTACCACCTATAGTTCAAGGAGGGGCCATTGACAGATACTGGCCTACAGCTGATGGGAGCCTGGTTGAGTATGACATAGATGAAGTGGTGTATGATGAAGATTCACCCTATCAGAACATTAAAATTCTACACTCAAAGCAGTTTGGAAATATTCTCATCCTTAGCAGGGATGTTAATTTGGCAGAGTGTGACTTGGCATATACCAGGGCCATCATGGGCAATGGTAAAGAAGACTACAATGGCAAAGATGTACTGATTCTGGGAGGTGGAGATGGAGCCATATTATGTGAAATTGTCAAACTGAAACCAAAGATGGTCACTATGGTAGAGATTGACCAAATGTTAATTGATGGATGTAAGAAATACATGCGGAGAACATGTGGAGATGTCTTAGACAACCTTAAAGGAGATTGCTATCAGATTCTTACAGAAGACTGTATTCCAGTACTGAAGAGGTATGCCAAAGAAGAGAGAGAGTTTGATTATGTGAATAATGATTTGACAGCTGTCCCTATCTCTACATCTCCAGAAGAAGATTCCACATGGGAGTTTCTCAGACTAATTCTTGACCTGTCAATGAAGGTTCTGAAACAGGATGGAAAATACTTCACACAGGGAAGCTGTGTCAACTTGACTGAAGCCCTATCGCTCTATGAAAAACAGCTGGGGCGCCTGTATTGTCCTGTGGAAATCTCAAAAGAGATTGTCTGTGTCTCTTCATACTTGGAATTGTGGGTATTTTACACTGTTTGGAAGAAAGCTAAGCCTTAAAGAAGAGCATCCCCTGAATGACATGTGCTGCAAGTCACCTTCCTGACCTCCATATGGCGTATATGCCATCAAATGAGTCAGGCAACTGTTCATGAATTCCTTCAAGTGATTTTCATTTTTAATTATTACTTTTAATTTAAAAAAAACCCAATGGGAAAAATGTATATTTTGATGAGTTAGGGTGTTAATTTTTAAAAGTCAGCTGAAGGACAATTAGACCAGCAAAGACTGCAGAATGCAATGACCCCCTAGAATGTGATTTTAGTATCTTTTTTTCCTCTGGGTGGAGTTTGTGTTTTTGTTTTGGTTTCAGTAGACCTTTAATTTGGACATGTGGATGCGATTTTTAAAGGTCTCCTCAGACAGCGAATCGAGGGATTTCTTCAGATTAGTAATGTCAATCTGTAGCTGTTTGATGTTCTTGTGAGTGGCCCTTCAAAGGTCTGAGTAGTGTAAGTTCAAAGGCCAGCATCTGGATTAGAACTTCTAACAGCAGACATCATGGGTATCCATTTTTACCTGGAAAAGAAAAAGAAGTTAATTCTCAAGGAAATTTCTCATCCCTGGATATAAATTGCCATTCATCTTTTTTATGGTTGGGCCTGACTTTGTGGGGGTATCTATTTATTTCATTAATCTTTTTGGTAGGCAGTTAGCTGTGCCTTCTGTGGTATCAAACAGGCCTGAGTCTTACAATGTAAAAGTTAATTAATCAAGCAAATGGAATCTGAAAACAAGTTGGTGTCTCTATTCTTAAAGTCAATTTTAAAGGATAATTAATCAGTATAAATGAAGGTACTGCCTATTACTAGAGAAAAATCATTAAGATGAAATAAATGTATATATACTCATCAAGTTTTGATGCTACAAATTTCATAAAAGAAACAATGATCACAAAAGATCAAATATGCCCTGATACAATAAGAGTAGTTGATTTCACTATCCTTCTTTACATCTCTTCATAACATTTGTATTATCTTATTTTTTCAACATTTAACAATGCGAATGTTTTGAAAGGTCCTATAATTTGATCTCTAATTAATTATATCACATATTATTTAATTTTAATATTCATTTTTATTTTAGTTATATGACTGTGCCAGTGTCTGAATGAGGGTGTGTCATATGTGTGCAAGCGCCTGTGGAGGCTAGAGGTGAGTGTTAGGTTCACTAAGGCTGGAGGCAGATGTGAACTTCCCAATGTGTATGCTAGGAAATGTTGCATATAATTTTAAAAACAGGATACCTTTTTGCCTTGTGCCACAACCCATGCTCTGACCTCTTCATGTTCCCCTTGCTCAAACTCAATCATAACCATACACCAACACACACTCTACCAGCCCCTTTCAGCTAGGTTTGTCAAACCACCAGTTATTGATCCAGCTTCCCTCTTTTTGCCCCTACTCACCTTTGTTCAACAGAAGAAAAACACTAGACAGCTTTATTTTAAAACTAGCCAGATCACACAATTAAGTGCTTGGCCCTTATCAACTAACCTATTTCAGCCATCTGCCAGTGAAAGAGGCAACCGTTTCCAGCCACCCAATATCTTACATTGTTATATCATGCTTTCTGTTCCAAACCTACCAGAAAAAAATCTCTCCCTCCCTCCATCCCTTCTCTTTCTCCTGGGACCCAGAAGTCACCCTTTGGCCTTTACCCAGCAATTGGCTCTTGCCTTCTTTACTGACATAATCAAGAACCAATTAGGGAATCACAACCTCCTACTACATGGAACCAAACTCAGATCCTCTGCAAGAGCATGTGCTCTAACCACTGAGCAATCTTTCCAGTCCCTACACTGGTTATTATTGCAGAGAAGCTAAGAGAAAGGAGATAAGATAAGTGGTACAAGACAAGATCATGGCTTTTGGGGGATGTAAACCTTTCTAGCATAAAGTAAGTGATCTATTGAAGCAAATCACCAATGAATAATTAAAATATATGTTAATATTCTATACTTACAAGGTAAAGGAAAATTCCAGAGATAATTAAAGAATACTATATTCTATGAATGTGCATAGAAAATTATGTATTTCATTCCTAACATACACATAATAAAGTTAGTTTCGTATATTTGAACATATTAAGATTTTTCATTGACATCTATATTATACAGATATAAAATTTAATATTTTTGTTCAATTCAAGATTATATGTAATATTGAATAAAATATACATTTAGCTTTAAACTGTGTGTTTCAGGTCTAATCCATATGGAGTCACTAGAGGTAAAATTGTTTAGCTAAAATATATAAATTTGACTTTGGTGTAGTGTTACTACCTATATTTATAACACTCAGGATGCTCATGCAAGAGAATTGCCACATGTTTGTGGCTAGAATGGATTGCAAATGAGACCTTGTTTTAAAAGAAATATTGGATAGATGATATCTATTGATCTATATATCTATCTAGATGATACATGATTGATACAGATCAATATAGTTCCTTAGAAAATTAGTAACCATATTTACTATATCAAAAGAAAAATTAAGCACATATGACACTAAAATTTCCACATATACGCTTTAGGTAACAACTGAAGAAAAATAAAGACAAAGATTTCTGGAATTCTGAGTCCAAGTTTTCCTAAATCCAGAAAAGCAAACATGTCCATATATGTGTACACTCATTTTATGTGAAAAGGTGTGATCAACATCAACTTTCCCACTTACAGAGCCCAACTTGTTACTCTACACAATTTCAAATTCTAATGTGTACCATGACATATAGGTTGTAAACTTTTAAAAGTATAGGTGATGAAAGTATATCCAGATAGTGAAAAACAAAGTCAAAATTTCATTGTTTGTGGAAGACATGCTATCACATATAGAAGGCATCAAAGATTATACAGAAACAGAACCAAGAATGAATTTAGCAAATTCCTAATATAAAAGTATTATGCAAACATACTGGTAGTGTTGTTTTTCCTTATAGAACATCCAACATGGAAAGCAAGAGAACAATTTCATTTAATATGAAGAGAATATGCCTATATATATAGTAATAAATTTAATAAGAATTGTAAATATTTCAATAGCAAATTAAGGAAACATTGATCAACCAAACACTACACATATACACATTCAGACAAACACAGACATATACATACATACATACATATATACATACATACATACATACATACATACATACATACATACAGAAAGAGAGAAAGGGAGAGAGAGGGGGAGAGAGAGAAAGGGAGGGAGGGAGAGAGAGAGAGAGAGAGAGAGAGAGAGAGAGAAAGAGAGAGAGAGATTGAGAGAGAGAGACTCATTATCTGGAAGATGTATATCATGAAAATGTCTATGATAAAATATGTAACTTCCATATTCAGTTCACATTGGTAAAAACACAAAAAGGAAAAAGCTAGAAAAAATCTAGAAGTTTATAGAAATTCCCCCAAACATCAATCAAATAATCAAACTCATTTTGAACAAACAAAGAAATGAAATTATGTGACTTCAAAATATCATAAAAATCACAGTTTTTGTTGTAGTTGGTGATGCTGAATACAGAGAACTATAACTGCTCAAATGTCAGAGAATATTGTAATATGCTCAGACCTAAACTGGCCTTCTACATCAATCATTTTGTACATGTCTCCCAACAGTTCAGAGACATTCATGGAGTGATTGTGAGAGTGCCCAGTTATAGAGGCCTACTAGGGCTAATATTAACGAGCATTTCTTACCATACCAAACCTGATATATGCATGAAGTTTCAGTGATTTTTAGTTGCATGCAGAAGATCTGAATAAATCAAGCCAGTAAAATTTCAGTATGGATGAGGGAGGGGCTCATAAAATGACGATTCACTGAGGAACTATTGGCAGATGATGATTGTAAGAGTCACTTTCTGAATGTGCATGAGGATTTTGGGTATTGAAGATTTAGGGGAATTTAGAGAAGAGGGACTAGGTTTGATATGATCAAGACACATTTTATACATATATGAAATTCTCAAGAAATATTTACATAGATATTTGAAATGTTTGATAGGCTTAAACACACGTTTTCCAAAGTAGACATCCAAATTGAGAAGTATAGGAAAAATTCTCGATATCAATAGTCAGCAAAGAAGTATAAATTGAAATCACAATAATCATCTCACTTATAAAAAGTGGGTGTAATTTGAAAAATAAATATAATTGAATCTTCTGAAGATGTAGGTAATATAGAGTAAATTGAAAACTTGCAAACTACTATTGGTTAGGATATACATTAATAAAAATCATTTTGTAAAATTCAGTGGGAAATCTTCCAACAACTAAAACTACAGTGTCCACACAATCCAGCAATACTATCATTGACTTGAAAATCAGTATGTTCAAGAGATTTTTCTGCATTCTTATGTTCATTGCTACTTAAAATAGTTAAGAAATGGAAAAACAAAAGCAAAAATCAAGAATATCTTAGTAGCTACCAACCGACAGAAGAAAATTATGCATGCAAACACAATAAGACACTGCTCAGCAACCAAAAAGAATAGAATCCTGTCATCTGTGATGACAGAAGTGGAACAAACCATTAAGTGGTATGAAATATCCAAAACATTATAAGTAAAGTTCCCTTATGGGGCCGAGGATTGATATGCCTGTCTGATACCACAGAAGGCACAGCTAACTGGCTACTAAAAAGATTAATAAAAAAATAGATACCCCACAAAGCCAGGCCCAACCATAAATAAGATGAATAACAATTTACATCCAGGGAAGAGAAATCTCCCTGAGAATTCCCTTCTTTTTCCTTTCCAGGTAAAAATGAATCACACGTGATGTCTGCTATTGGAAGTTCTAATCCAGATGCTGGCCTCCAAACTTACATCACTCAGATCTTTGAAGGACCATTGACAAGAACATCAAACAGGTAGAGATTGACATCACCAATCTGAAGAAATCCCTCGTTTCACTGTCTGAAGAGAACTCCTAAAATCACAAAGATATTTATTGGACTTGATTTACTCTATTACAATAGAAAAGGCTGTGTACAGCT